AGATGCCAGTCACTGCACCTGGCTCAGCAGGGAAGACATGTCCCCTCCAGTTGGTAGTCCCGCCCACTTGTCCAGCCCAGCTGGATACAGCCTTAGCAGCTGAGACTGGGTTCCACTTTGAGAGAGCCAGACACTTAAGTAGGAAGAGGACTTTCCCATCAGCCTCTGTCTCTTTTCCTTGAGTGCCCACAGCCTGGATTCTTTGGGAGCCTGTCTCTGCTCAGCAGGAAGCCCCCAAATGTCCCAGGGTCCTTCAGCTCTGCCTGAATCACAGTTCCACTTTCTCCGGTCAGAATGTAAAATTTTCCTCCGTTGTAATCTCTCTGATTTTGTTGATGCCGCCTCTTCAAAATCTGTTTCACCTCCTTTTTGTCTATACGACCACTACTCTTGTCTCAGCTGCCATAATGTACCATTTAGATGGTGACATCAGCCCCCAGTGAACTTCTTGCCTCGTGTTCTGTCTCCCCCAAACTCAGCCTCCAAATGGCTGGATAGGAGTGATTTTTAACCACACTTTTATCTGTTCATCTCACTCTCCTACTCAGAACTCTTTAATGACTCCCTGAGGGCTTGTCAGGGGCAAATGTAAACTCCTTCATTTGGCTTCCAGGCCCGGCACAGTCCAACCTCTGTCTGCCTCCTTGGTGTCATCTCTTACCCCCTTTGCTCTGTCTTGCTGCTCATTTGAGCAATGGCAGGCTTCTTGCAGCTGCTCCAATGCGGAGCTCTTTTTTCCTCAGGAACTTCACATATTCCTTTCTTCTCTCTTAGAATATTTTCTTCCCTTCAGCTAACCTATTCACCCGTGGTTTTCCGCTAGCTTGTCACTCTCTTCTGAAAAGGTTCTCCTAGCCCTCATCAGGTAGATCAGGTATCCTAAGTGATGGTAATCCTATGTGAGTCATCTGCCATGCTATGCTTCATTGTGTCACAGGACTCGACACAATGCACCACAAATTAATGTCTGCTTAGAAATATTTGGATTTCTATGCTGTGCATGACCATGTCTATTTAACCTCTAGAGCCTAGCATTGGGCCTGGCATTTTTGGCATAGTTTTCAACAGAAGGATTCCCAGCTGATGTTTCCAACATGGTTTCCAGCTACTCATACCATCCTGCGCTGCATGCCTCAGGCTGCTCTACCCCACCGAAGGCCTTTCTGCTCCCCAAACGTGTTAGAAATAGATCCTGCCTCTCTGTCTTTGCTCCTACGCGTGTTTCTGTCAGAAATGTCCCACCTCACCCTTTGCCTAACAAACTTCAATTTATTTAAGCCTCAGCTCAAGTTTCACCTCCTGAGTGAAGGCTGTGCTTGAAGGGATCCATTAAAGTAAAGATTTATTCTAGTCAGAGTAATTCTTAGCTCATTTTTCATCATTAATGCTTTGTTATACTAAAGCTGATATCTACCAACCTTCAGCACGCTGCTCCAACGCTCTTCCAGGGGCTTGCAGCTCCTTGCAGCACCTGTATCACAGCACTTCCACGGGGCTTTAGTGTGTGTGTGTGTGTGTGTGTGTGTGTGTGTGTGTGCGTGCATGCGTGCGTGCACACATGTGTATGCATGTGTGCATATGTGTGCTTGGGGTGTGTGTGTTTCTTCCTCCCCTAGATGATGTAGGGGGACATTATATAACCATAATTTCTTCCCCCTTCCCTGCTCTTTGTAAAGAGGTTTTGGCTCATTTCTTCAATTAAAGTGAGACATAAATTCTGTCCCTTCCCCCACCCTTTGTGTTTTTCCTGCCAGGGTACCCACTCATTATTGAGACAAGCCAGGGCTGCTTGTCTTTCAGGAAACATCATTTTCCCAATTAGCCTTTGATTGGAAACAGTGCCGTTTCAGCCAGGGTTCTTTAAGAGTCTGTTGATGACAGGCAGCCTGGTCCTATGGAAAGAGCACTGGTTCAAGTCAGCAGTCCTTATTGTTAGGCATCTCTACCTCTAACTGTGTTTGAACATAAATAGATTGTTTTTATTCCTTAGATCTCCACTTCTTCCTTTTCTAAACAAAATGTGTCTTGATCTTGGTATTTGGCTACTGAAAGTGCAGCCCATGAACAAGAAACATAGAAAGTTAATAAGTAGCTCATGAGAATTGCAGAATCTGATTTCCCCACAACACCTAAATCAGGCTTTCCCTTTTCACAAGATGCTCAGGTGATACTACCCACAGCAAAGCTGTGGAAGCGCCATAAACCCCACATGTGAAACAGCCATTGAAGCTCTTTTGTACTGTACAGGCTCCCAGCCTGCTGGACAGTCTAATGAAGTTGGACTGGGATGGGATCCCGGAACTGGTCTTTGTAATAACTCCTCCATGTAATTTTCCCCCAAGAAGCTTAGGAAAACATTGGATGACTGGTTTATAAAGCCCTGTCCGCCTTTGACAGTCTGCAAGTCTATATGCATTGGTTCATTTCAGGATGGGAGAGGTCATGGCCTTTAATTCAGGAATGGAGGACTCACCCCTCTCTCAGTCCATGAGAGCATCCTCAGAACTATTCAGGGGTACATAGGCAGGGAATAGAAAGGGTACAACTGTTTACACTGACTCTTCTTGATTGGAGAAAACCAGCAGATTTGAGGAGAAATTACTTTCTTACTCAAGGGTGTCTCCTTGAGGGAGTCACCTGAAAGACTTTACTAAAAAGGAGGGATTAGAAATGAAGGGGTCGCTACTTCTCCCATACTGTCACCGAGATGGGGGAGTACAGACAGATTGACAAGGAAATCTGGGGAAAGCCTCTCCCCCAAAGGAACCCTACTTTCCACAACCCTCAGTGCAGATGTTTGGCCTGACAAGGCATGTTTTCCAATTTGTAAGTGTATTTGTGGAAATTCTTTTTTAGAAATGTATAAAAACAAAATCACATTTAGTTATATGTTTAACAAATCACCTTTATTTGGAAAGGAGGGAAACTTACATAAGATCAGGCCTGCCCTGGAAAGTTCAGGGTAGAAATTTGCCAGTTTTTCTCCATGTTTGGGTTTGTTTTTCTTATAAATATGACTTGAGTTCCGTTGCTGGTAGGTTTTGGCTACGTGTGACATTTAGACAGGTGGAGAAATGTGGAAGGGCATTCAGAGGGTATTTTTCTAGGCAAGGAAAGAAGGATAGACTGTGTCAGCAAGAGTGAAATGTGAATGGGCATTCCTACGCCAGGGCTGAAGTCAGGGGAGGAGGTATGTGAGAAGCTACTGAGCTGTCCAGAACAGAGGAGACTCGGTAAACGGGTGCGAGGGGGATTCAGGCTGAATTAAGTCTAGGCTTTCTCTTCCATTTCTTCCATATCCCAGTTGGCCCACCAACTTTTGACACTTCTACACCCGCAGTTCTATAATCACCAGTACCCTGCCACATCTCTGCTCTTCATCGCAGGACCCCATTTTGGCTCTTTGCAATAGCTTGGAAGAACTTCTTTATTTCTGCAAGTTTTGTCTTGAGTTTTACAAATAGCATTTCTCTAAAAGAAAATAAACAATGACTATAAAATTTTTCTGAGAAAAAAAGCCCCTTTCATCTGACTTTTAGGTAGAGATGCAAACTGAACCCAAATGGCTCATGGGATCGTGCATTCTGGTTAAGTCTTGGGGAAGAGGAAATGGAATTCATCAGAGCAGGGAGATTCCAAATGAGAGTTTCAGAACCCTCTGATAGGACTAGCTCACCCAGAATCACAGGGTTCTATTCTCAGAGGTTCTCATTCAACCTCTGTAGAAAAGGGCCTAAGGCTGAGTATCCCCTACACGCTTCTTAGGCCATACTGATGAACAGTCCCTCAGTATGAGGCTGAGAAATGGATGAAAAATAATCAGAGAGAGGGTACAATATTAGGTAGTCTTAGGATAAACTCCCTTTAAATACCAAATACCCAATTTTTTACAACACAATCCATACCCATTTCTCCATTTCTTCATTCTTTTAGGCTAAACCAGTGTTTTCAGCAGACTGGAATTTGAAAGAAAAGAGATAGATTTTATTTGAGGCCCTTGCAGGATTAGATATCTTAAATTTTCTTTGACTAGTTTGTTGAAAAACAAATACCTATTTATTTCCTTGCCCAATTTTTGCAAAAAGAACATTTTCAATATTTAAAATATGAAAAGGATATGGTTTCAAAACTAAATGTAATCCTTTAAATTGAGTACATTGCTTCTATGAAACTCACACATGCACACGGTGCTTACCTGATTGTTCTCTTTCCACCAGAGAGCAATGAATTTCTAAAGAAATTTTTAGCTAAAGAGACCTAGTAAATCTACATCTAACTTTTATCTGAATTAGGAATACCAAGAAGTTCCATCTTGCTCTAGTTTGTCTCCACCAGACTGATGCTCACTACTCAGAGGATGAATTCCTAATCGTCTCAGTCCTGGAAACTGTGCAGTTACGTTTCTTCAACAAAGGCTAGGCAGGCTCTTTATGGTTAGCCCTCACAGAATTGTGCTGATCAAAGTGGTCCCGAAATCTCAGCTTCTCTTCTGTGTGCTGTTTTCTCCCACACTTTTCATTAACCTCTTCCCAAGCCTAGTTAAGATCTGTTGTGAGAAGTTAGTGATTTATACACAAGGATGAAACTGATATTTATGAATTCAACATCTATGTGTTTCTTCTCTCAAAGTGGCTGTTCCAGTAACCTCCTAATAAACATCAAAGGTATGTTCAAGAACTGTAAAGTCTTTCTACACTGTCTGAAAGCACAGTAATAGAAATTGCCTCTTATTTGGTGACACAGCCTTACCTTAGCCAAAACATTTCATATACTAAGAGAGATCTGATTCCTGCTCAACTATAGAGACCCAAGATCTCATATGCTGAAGACATGCTATGCTGTTAATTATGGTATTTCCATCATACATTAATTCTCAGCTTCCTCATCTATAAAATTAAGGGTTTGGACAATCTAATGTATAACTTTACTTCCAACTTGGACACTTTGTGGTTATATGATCATTGGTTTGATGATTGAAAAGAGAGAATGTCAGCCAGAAATATTGAAATCAAATTTTATTTTTGGAAAATGACATTACACACATCTTGCAAATGTTCACAGAAATGAGAATGAGATGGAGAACAGAGCTTGAGAGCCAAAAAAGATTGCAAGAGCAGTTCTATGGCTGCCCAGTATTGAACACTGCAGATGCACAGTATTCATAGTTCACAATACCTCACACACATGGGGAAACTTCCCTAGGCAACCTTGAAGTCCTCAAACCAAAGAGCCCTCATCAAATTATAGCAGGGGAGATTAACAGTCACAGGAGATATAAAGGGCCTGCTCTAACCAGCTTCCATGGGCCTTGCCTAACATACCAGTCCAAGAGAAACCAGTAAACCAAAAAGAAGAGTGTCTTCTTGAAACACAGCCTTTGCATCACTCGCAGTCTAAGAGTGTGCTGTGTTGCCAGGGAAAAAAGACAGCAATGTATCTAAACACATCATGTTCTTGCCTTTGCTTGACTGAGAGGTAGCTGAAACCCCTATCTCTTGCATGTTTCTGTTTTGCTTTTCTTTTCCCCTCATAATTATTGATCACCACCTTCTGATGCCTCCAGATACCACAAAAGTAATGCAGGGATCTGGCACATCGTTGGGTTGTGTGATTTCGAGACTTATTCAATTCTGCAACGTAACTTGGCAACCAAAGACACCCCCAGTTTTCCTCTTATTTGTATGTAAAAGAGAGGTGAGTCTTTAATCAACATACCATGCCTTGAGAAACAGTCAATCATTTCTGAGGAACTGTTGTAAAATTCTTTTCAACCTCTTCCCCCTTTTTGGTTTATTTTCTCTTTGCTGAGTTTACTTGGCAAGAATTCTTGGCCCCTTAATCAGTTATTTACAGTTAATTGTGAGAAACCTGGGAGCAGGGAGTGGAGAGAGGGAAGAGGGCCACATGGAATAATATATTCTTTTCAGAGGTTAAAAGGAGTTATTTAAGAAATGTGATGTACAAGACCATGCATTTACTCTCCAAAGGTAGTCACTAGCAAGCTAACATCTCTAACACTACAACCACCAATTACAGCTGTTTTGCTACAGTTACTCAATTCTAACTACAGCTATAGGGCAGAAAGGGTGGGCTGTTTCCATTTTAAACTTTCTCCCTTTGAAAATGGCCATAAAAGCATTTTCTGTACAAGATTAATGGCACAAAAAGGTGACCAAAACGTTTAAAATAATTTACTGCACATGAAAAAATGCAAAATCCAGTCTCAAACCATGCATTAGCTGTGTACAAGTCATAAGAGGTTGTTGACTTAATGCTGCAATATAATATACTACCAAACATCAGATATATTTTAGCATAACCTCTTACTTTCTTAAACCCCTTTAAGAGAATTTAGAAAGAAAAGTCACGGGAAAATTGGGCAATGCATATGGTATTGCTGAGCAGTGACATTCCCAGGGGTTGTGCACTCTGTTGAATTCATTAGCAGGCTTCTTAAGCCTGCTAATTACTCATACATGGACTGCCTGTGCTGGACCATGAACAGTTGGTGTTAAAAGGAAAATGTTTAGGTAAATGTAGTATCAGAAGGACAAATGCATTTCAACTTAGTAGTTTCTTCTACAGCCTGAATTTGCTAAATACTCTTTTGGCTTAAATTAAACTCAATTGCCTACCAGTTTTGCTTAAACAATTCAACAGGCAGAAAACACATAATAATGTTATAACAGAGAGCTTAATGAGTACTGGTAAAAGTTTAAACAAATTGTTTCTGCTTCCCCTCCCCACTCAACATATTATCTGTGGTCTCCCATGATATTATATTGCAGCTTTCTTAAACTATGAGCAAATTAAATGAAATTAACTAAGAATATCTAGCCAATTTGAATGGATGGGAGGATTTTTCCTGTTCAGCTGATTATTTATCTGAGCACACTACACTGTTGCACCAAATGGCAGACTGAAAAAAAATCACAAAGTGTACTGTACAATGCTTGCTTAGAAGGTAAAGACCAAAACATCCATGAGCTGTAACGACGATGCTCGAAAAGATCTGCTGAGACTAAAACAGAAAAGAAGGAAGGGCCAGATTAATGTTTATTTCCACCAACCTACTTGTGGCTGAATATCAGGAGTAGGACCCGGAATTGTTGAGACTGAAAATAACTTCTCTTCAATCACAAGGCTAAACTTACAAGCTAAGAGTTTGTATATACCCAGTGGTAAGACAGAGAAGAAGCAAAGGATTCTGAAAGAGGGGGAAGGACTGCATAAGTCAAAGAATTGGATGGGATTTTTTCCTATGGTATGAGAGATTGATAACAGAGTTTAAACTGAGAGCAAAAATAGGCATCTAGATGGGGAAAGGAAATGGCAAGTAGAATGAAAAAAAGCCACTTATTTCCTTGAGTTATTGCCCAGAAATAAGAAATTCCGATGCCTTCAGGTCTTGCTTTAGTTTACAAGATTTTCTTTTCTGATTTCTTCTATTTGACCTTTTCCAAATCACCTGCCCTTTTAACCTAAGCAGGGAAGTACCTTACTTTCCGATGAGAATTCTCTAGCTCCAAGTACCCCCAGACAGGTGGAAAATCATTTCTAATTCCAGAAGATTTTGACACCTGTAAACTAAGAAACACTCCAATTCCCAAATGATAACCAATCTTACAGCAGCTTGACCAAATCTTGAGCTCTGCATTGCTCCTTAAAGAGGAGATAATCAAAACAACACTAAGGCTAGATGGAAAGAATAAATGAGGCTTTTGGTGTGATAGCTATGGGAACTCCATTTTTCACCCAAGGGAGATGCCTCTCTAACCAAAAAGAAAGAATGAAAACTCAGTGAGCTCTCCTTGTTCCCAGTGGCCATGCAAGAAGAGGAAATCATTCATGATTCCCAGAAGAGTGAGTGGTATTATATGTGTGGTTTTAGTGGGATAGAGGCAGAAGCATGGCAGCCTCTAAATTCCAGATTAGGGACAAGTCCTAGCATTTTCAGGGTTCTATTGCTACAAAAAGGTCCTAGATTACTTCTGACATGTTTTAAATGGCCAGGTCTGCATTCAACCTTTATTATTTTAGGGTTCAAACTCTAAACCATAGGACTATAGACACTCCTATGCTCTTACATGCGCTCCAAGACACCCATGACCTTCTTTTAAAAATAATTTATGTGCATTGATGTTTTGTCTGCATGCATGGCTATGTTAGGGTGTCAGATCCCCTGGAACTTGAGTTACAGATGTGAGATGCCATGTAGGCACTGGAAATCAAACCTAGATCCTCTGGAAGAGCAGCCAGTGCTCTAAAATGCTAAGCATCTCTCAAATCCCAAACCCTGACCTTCTTAGGAAACCAGTTTGAACCTAGAAGCCAAACCTCTTAATTTAGTGAAGGCAGTATATAAATGAGACCTAGATGTGGGTACACGTGACCTTATGTGCCCAAGAACAAGTTCCAATCACTGTTTTAAAAAAAGAAAGAAAAGAGAAATATCCCTTGCCTTGATTTTTCAGTAAGTTAGACCACCATGAAGAAAGTCAGTAAAGCTATGTTGCCATGGTGTTTCTGCTAGAGAAGTCTCGTGACTGAGGCAGCCTTGTCTCTTGAAACATTCTCATCACTGCAGAAGCTCATTTGGGACACATGGACATGCTACTTCTCCCATACCAAGGAGGTAGGGTTTGTATTACTTCTTTGTTTTCTAAAAGGGAAACCCATTTGGAATCAGATGTGAGAGGGAATGTGGACTCTCTAGAATACTGAAGAGACTGGGAATGGAGACACAGATCAAGCATTGTATTATTTGCCTTAAACTTGGGCTGGATGATTCTCAGAAGTATATAAGATATAGAAGCTACACGTCCTACTTTAGGATTCCTGGTCCTACCTAACTGTAGAGGAGGAGAAAAGAGAAGTTCCTGAACATGGGTAAACCTAGTAAGAGGTCTTTCAGAGCTCAATTAATAATAATTAGTTTCCAGAGAGCCTTGCTGCAAAAAACCCACATGGAGCCAGGCTAGATTTTAAATGCTAAAAGGAAAAAGTCATCTCAGAAAGTCAGAATAAACAAAGCTATTGCTCTATTTTTCAGTTCTTATTTTCTCTGCTCGGGAAACAATAAACCACTCCCTTGTCCCGGGAGAAAGAGCAAGTGTGATAATGACATTGAAGTAGACATTTTCTAGTCCACTTGGATAGAGCAGGAGCACAGGGAGGGGCCTATTTGGAAGATTCCTCAATTTTGGGCATCAATCCTCTGGATCTCAGTGCCTCCCTCTCTTTGGGGCTATCTGCAACCCATGTGGATGAATCTATGAGAATGTGAGGAGGAAGAATCAGAGTACTTTTTGGAGTGGATTTGTTGCTGAGATCAACAAAGTAAAATATGGATCCAGGATGCAACATGACCCTGGGAAAGAATTTTCAGGATCCTCACAGAAGACAATACTGGCTAGTTGGAAAAGGCCCTGAAACAAGAGCCAAGAGGTGTAGGTTCTAATCCCAGCTCTGCCAGCAGGCAGCTGTGCGACCTTGGAGAGAAATTACTTTTCTTCTTTGTCTGTTTCCTGGCCTTAAGAAAACGAAGAATTTGGAGCAGATGATGTGATCTTAAGCTTCCTTCCAGCTAGAAAATGCTATGATTCAGTCTAGGCTAACACCAAGTCCATAAGGACAGAAAGCAGTCATGCTAATGGCTATCCTTTCCAAACCAGTTATGAGAAAAGAAGCTTTTCTCTCACTTTAATTCTAATTACCACTACTTACAAAGTTAGCTGTTCACCCAGCCCCCATATATACATTTCCCTTTTTTGCCCCTATTTCTAATTCTGTGGGGAAGAAAAGTCAGGAGGTAGGAACAAGCAACATGGTGTGTGTGTGTGTGTGTGTGTGTGTGTGTGTGTGTGTGTGTGTGTTTGTATCAGAGAGACATTATGGGAAGCAGTGGCAAATGCTTGCTGACCATGTATACTCAACACACTGGGTCTAAAGTGGTAAAACTGAATTAGATAAAACTGGGAATTAATAAGGGGGAGGTATGAGCTCAGTATTGCAAAATAATTACTTGAATATGAGCCAATTTAAAGTGAAATTATTGAGTTTTCAGCTACACCAAGCCTTGCCACATGAAGTAGCAATAAAACTAAATGTTTTCTTACATGTATATGTGCCCGTACAGAAATGAAAAATATTTGCAAAAGGTTCCCTTGTAATTAGTTCAAAGAGGACAGAAAGGGCATTGTTGTCATAGAAGGATGTCTGTTCCAAGAACACTCTAAAGAAAACATGCCCATAGTATTTTCTAGTCGTCTATATGCCACAGGTAAGGAAATACTCAGAGAACTACTGAGAAGCCTGGGCATGAGGAACTTTGAATTTTCTCTGTTCCTACTCTTTCCGTAGATCATTAAGCTGTCTGGATCTCTATGTTAACATCTTGAATAAAGCTAGACTACAAGGATTTCTGAAAGACTGACATGGAGTGTGTTGGAGCATCTAGCCCAGAGGTTCCGTAATTTCTATCCATCCAGAATAATCAATTTGCCCTAACTAACTCAAATATTCTGGGAGGCACTAAGAAAAAACTGAGCTTCTATAAGGAAATAAGGGCAAAGTGAACTGGGCTTCTTAATCATTTCCTGTGAGTATACAGATAAAGGAAGGACAAGAGCAGAACCTCATCATTTCAGGTTCTTCAATGATCAGTTTCACCAGCAATCAGAACTTGCATCATCTCACTTCTCCTGATCCCCCACAAAAAAGTTTCTTATAATCTTGTAATTAAGGACATCTTAAAATTATCAAGGGGCCTCTAACTACCCCTTCCATCCTACTTCCCCCTGCACATCAACAACACCACCAAGTTGCCATCAATCCATGTTGAGTTGTCCTGCAGTATTTCCTAATTGTGAAGCAGCCTAGACACACACACACACACACACACACACACACACACACACACACACACTCTAACCCCACACTCATTCTACTTAGAATGGAGGGACAGCTGCATATCATTCAGCAGCCAAACATCTTGGCTTTGAATGTTGCATCTTTCAAACTAACTGAACAATTACAAAGAAATAAAGGAAATATTTCTATCTATTAAAATCAAACACAGACTTGGCATGCATGGCTTTCACCTTAATTTAGTTGGCTATTATGGGCTATGACTACAGACAAAAATCAGTGTTATAAACCTCAAAGACTGAGAGTTATTTCAAGTGATCAATCCTTAATAAAGAGAAATCCTTTCTAATGCTAAAGACAAGTGAAAGGTCTCTGCATCTTCAGTATGAAATATTAGGATTATAGATAAAAAAGAGTTACTTAAAATATGCCATAACATTTCATTTAAAATATAACTAGAATGTCTGGTCCACGTTGAAATTATTACTGTAAGTGTAACTGTTAAAAAGGTATCAAAAGACTGATTCTATTGAATTGGCCTCTAGTCATAGTATTTTCTCCCGGAGCTTTCTGTTTGGCAGTGAGAGCATGATTTCTAAACTACAGTATTCTGCTGCATTTTTTTGGTAAATTTTCTGCTTGTGTTTTTTAGACAAAGGAAAAAATCACCAGTTTATAAAAAAGGGAGCCTGCAGAGTTTTGCTCCTGAAATACAGACTTGAGTTTTTATTAAAAAAGGATATGGTTTCTTGCTATAAAAAGCTACCAAAGGTGTCAGACCTGAAAACAAATTCTCACAGTGTTTGTAATGTTGGTTGTTTACAAGGCATTCAATAGAACAGAGCTAGATGGATACCATACTCTTCGTGTACTAACTTTGTATGTTAGAAAGCCTCCTGGAGGAATCATATATATGACATCACTTACCCAAACTCACAAATTGTTTATTGATTCCAAATTTCCCCAACAGAGGGGTTGACCAGGAATCTACTGTGCTTTATAAATCCTACTGAAATTTGGGCAGTTTTTCACCCAATTCTGCCTCATCTCTTTCAGCTAGCCCTACGCTATTCTATAGCCCTAAGCACATGATGTCACATTATTATAAGTAGCTGGTGGTTCTCCTTCTTGACAGACAGGATTAGTGCTACACAATACACTGGGGGCTCAATGAAGAGCAAAGAGCGAGGTCAAGGATCTGACTTGCCACCCTCCTGAGATCCTCCAGCATTTTGAAGATACAGAGGCAAGGGACACTTAGGTTTTTCACTTTTAGATCTGCATAGGAATGTTTCCCCCACACACAAACATTTTAAGTGATATGTATGTAAACAGCCTTCCACATAAGAGAGACTAGTATCTTAATAAATTGAGTGGGGAAAATAAAAGGCCCCTAAGCATTCAGTAGAAAGGTCATGGACTAGCACATTTTTCAGTTCTCAAAAGTCACTCAAAATGATGGTTATCAATCTATCTCTCATTATTGGTAATTGTAAATTAGTGGCCCAGAGGAAAAGTCACAAGAAAATAAACCCTACGTGCTACAGAGTATTTTGAAAAATAACAACAACAACAAAAATGGTTAAGCACCAATAGCCTTGTTGGTCACTTGAGCGAACATATTCTGCTATAATGATAGGTTTTTATGTAACCTATCATCTTTCACATGGAATCGCCAAGTGAATCAGAGTCATCCAGGGACAGCGGCAGATACAAGTCCTGTAAGAAGAGAAGAAACAAAGTTAACTCTCCTGTACTCAGTGCCTTGAGTTTGGAGGTTGTTTTAGTTGCTTGAAATAACATTTTTCTGATTTTTATTTTAAAATAATTAATACATTCACAAAGAGCTTTAAAATTATATGGAGAGGTATTCCTGTGTTATATCAATATGCTCCTTACCCAACTTCCCCTAGAAGTTAATATCTTGCAGATTGGTATGTTCTCATTTGATTATGTGTGTATGTGTGTGCGTAAGAATGACAATGATGAGGAAGAAATAAAAGAGCAAAAAACACACATAAAATTGAACTGAAGCAAAGCAACAGACAGTAGGATAAATCTGGAACTGGATTTACTTCTCAAACACTTGCCTACAGTGAAAACTGCTCATGGTCAAAAGCGTCTTTGAGCTTCAGAAACACAGAAGTGTCATATTGACCTGTGTAGGAGCCTTCTGGAAACCTCACAGAGTTCTACTTTATTTGATTTGATTCAGAGTACACTTGCTACAATCTGCATTTTCAAGAAGAATTAATCAATACAATTGTTTTTAAAAATCATAACTTCACAGCCAGGCTTGGTGTCATGCTGTATGCCTTTAACCTCTGTGTTTTGGAAGCAGAGGTAGGCAGATATTTGTGACTTTAAGGGTAGCCTCATCTTTACAGCAGGTGCAATATATCCAGGGATACATTGTGATACCCTGGCACAAAAAAGTGGATTTCTAGATTTCTGTAAAGTATGAGTGTGTCGAGGGGTAAAAGTTGGGGTAAATAAAATGTCTTAAAACCTATAAGGTAAAGATGTAAAAATGAGCAGTCCAAGGGGAACTTTAAAACTCTCTAACATATATTTGTGGGAATATTTGTTATATATGAATTGGTGACTGTGTATATGCTCAGGGAAAACACAAGATGGTACTAATCTGTAAGCCCCAGATGACTTTGGGGCCCTGCACAAGCAGTAAGTAAAAGAAAAAGTACAATTGGCAACCACCTGATAGATTGTTGAAATCATGACCCAACATTCACAGAGACCATCAGCAACAAAGTCTTAAGGAACTTGAGTTAAGGAACTCAAGAAAATCCTTTTGAATCCAAATTTTACTATAAGAAATAAGTGTGGGCATCCCCATCCAGAGTTCACTGCTGGCATACTTGTACTACAACAAATATTAAAGATAGTCTCTCAAGGAGCTATGCTAATTCATACCCTCATCAGTAAAACCAAACCAAACCAAAACAACAACAAAAACCAGTAGGGCAAATTTGCAAATGCATTCCAGGGATTGTATACATTAAATATCATAAGTCTTTTCTTTTAATGTTGATTGAAAACTGTATTTATATTTAATTATATATATTTGATGTTTACAATGTGATGTTATAGGATATATATAAATAACAAAAGCAGTTACAATAGAGAAGCAAATATCTATGGAATCACATAGGTTTTTATTTATATTTTTAAATTTAAATTTAGATTAGAAACAAGGTTGCTTCACATGTGAATTCCAGGTCCCTCTCCCTTTCCCTCCCCCTCCTCCCACACCCTCCCACCAACCCCCCAATGCCCCCTCATTTTTTTCTTGTATAAGAGGGGCAACTAAACATGCTTCCTTCATAATAGTTTTATTAAATTCAGTGATTTTGTAGATTTGTATATTTTTTCATATAGCCTGTCTGTTCTGTTCATATCTGTTATGTTGTATCTATTGATATATTCGTTCCATTTTCTTCACTCCTCTAGTCCCTCTAGTAACCTCTACTTTGCTCTCCATCTCTAGGTATTTGATTTTTTTTTCTTTAAAAAGTCCACACACAAGTGAGATCATGCAATAGTTTGCTTTCTGTGTCTGGTTTATTTCAAACTACAACTGTATGATCTAATAATTACAAAAATGTGTTGATGGACATTTTGTGTATAAAGACATAATTTGTATGTTTATAAGAGGCCAAAGGAAGGGAAAAGAAATGGTGCTACTCTGTAGCAAAACTTTTAGACAGAATTTAAATAAAGTTATATTCTAGATTGTATTAATATAGCAATTAAACAATTGAATGTTGCGCTGAATGTTGAAGCCCGGTGCTTCACTAGGGTAAAAGTCTACAAGTGGTCTTTATAGTATTCACAGATTTTATGTATTTCATGAGAAACTCACATGGAGTTCACTAACTTGCAGTATCCACTGCATTTCCTGTCTTCTGATACAATTGAAGAAAATAAAATGCAATTATTGGGTTCATAGTTCATAAGTTTTTAGAACTAGAAGGAAGATCTTGAAGTCCATCGCCAGACACTAAAGGACATACTTGTTAGACTTCTATTTTATGATTATATTAATTATTCAATTTGAAGTATTGAAATTTTCAGTTAATACATTTGGGTTACATGTGAGTTACCTACCTTAATTCCATCATTTTCTGTTTCACATATACTGACACAATGTTCTTAAGGGGCCTACCTTTATTTATAAATACATTTACTGAAACTATTGACCCTTCCTTTTGCTATCAACAATTTTATGTTCCCTTAATAACAAATTTGCTTTAAGTTCATTTTCTCTAACATTTGTATTGCATCATAGTTTTTAGTTACTTTTTTGTGTTTGAGCTATATATTTATTCATCCAACTTATCTACTCCTTTGTATCTTTTGATCTATATCTTCCCATTTCCTTCATAGCTTTTCCTGTGATTCTACCCTCAGCACATTTACATCTTTCAGTCTATATTGCTTCTGTTTTAGACAGCATAAAGATGGGTCGTGCCTTCAAAAATCTATTCTGGTAATCACAGTCTTTTAATTTGAGTCTATGATTAATCTACTAATATTTACTCTAATATTTAAAGTAATTACCAGTAAATAGGAATTGTATCAACTATCTATCTCACTCTTTTCTGTCTTGTCTCTTTTGCTCGGTATTCAATTTTTGGTTTTGTGTTAAATGCATATTTGTCGATTGTTTTTGAACTATCTTCTATTTTTAAGTGTTATCTATTATTATTATTTGCTCATTTGGTGGAAATAATTATACTAGATTATTATTGCAGACTATACCTCAAAAGAAACAAGGAGAAGCTAATGACAGAATTGTGAAAACTCTACTTGTAATTGCTGTGACTTAGAAAGAGTAAAGATTCAAGCCATGGACAGGACCCATAGGAATAAGCCTAGGTACGAACTGCTTCTATACCTCTATCAATTCATCGAGTATTTAAAGCCTGGGTGGGGGTTGTAAGGGAAGAGGAATGTTCAGGAAAAGTAATTACCTCAGCATTCTGTTTCTGTTGATTGATATGTAGAAATACAGAAACACACATATTGCTTAACAATACAAATAATTTGCACCTGAAATTCATTTTCTAAGTCCCTTAGAGCCCTACAGAACAAAATGTTTGTAACAAATACAGCTGTGCTGGCAATACTGTTGCATTAGAGAAAACAAAAAGTCAGTCTTTGGTCCAAGGAGCTTATAGTCCAAAAGAAGTCAGGAAGGACGTTGAGGAGACCTAGCTTCCAGTTAGGTTTGCTATTTTCCCAACTTACCCTGTACTTTCTCTGTGGTATAACATTGCTCTTACTGATATTTTAAAACTTGTGTGTCTGTTTGTCTCGCCAGTCATTTCAAAGCTTATTCAGCCTTCAAGACCCAAGTTAAATATCACCTCTGTGAAGTCTTTGCCAATTTCCACCTTCCTTGGGACCCCATCAAATGTCCTTTCCACCCTGTTTTATATTATCCAAAGTCACATATATTCCAGTTAACCAGGCCCCTACTCTATTCTTCAAACTATCTTTCTGACCACTGCTAGGATGGCAAAAGAAATGTGCAAATAGAAGTAAGTGTATATTTAAATGATGTCGGTTATATGGTCAGGCACTAGGTCTGATACATTTTCCTTTCATTGCCATTTTGCATAAAATTCTTCAGGTTTAGTGCTGTGAGTGAAATCACTAATCTGAAAATCATCTTAATTAAATCAAATAGTTTTTCTATGTTTCCATATTTTATACATTTTTAACCAGGTATTAGCTCCAAAAGCAGTCTTCAATAAATATTGTTAAACCACGCTGAAGCTGCCATTAATCTCTTAACTTTAGTCCTCGTCTGTACAATGGGAAGGCTATTTATCTGTCCTTTCTCTTTAATGGGGATATTTCAAGGATAAGTGAGAGGCTTGCGAAAGGTTAAAGCAGTATAGAAATATAAAATGAAATGTTGTTCTCATTAACTACCTTTAAATGTACTGTGTGTCCATATTGCAGCACTTGAGTATGCGGACTTTGGCTAACCTCTTCGCAGCTGCATTAAAGAGGATTCTCCATGAGCTGCCTAAGAGAAGCCAAGCATCTGATTACAGCTTAGAGCCCCAGAACAGCAATCAAAAGTTACCAAGGGGATGCTAGGACTTCAAGATTGTTTCCAATTGCATAGGAGGAAAGAGATTGCCTTGGCCACCTGCTTCCTGTCTCCACCATGACTCACACCTTTCAGGTCCACTTGGACAGAAGTTCAGATGAGATCTGCTCTGGCCACTTCCCAGAGAGATTGGTGGTTCTAAGGCTCAGGTAGCAAGCAGAGTGAAAGGACAGATGCAAAGCTTGAAGCTGAGATTTGGAAGGACTAAACCAAGGTCACAACCAGCTTTTAGCTCAATCTCCATGTTGGGCCATGTAAATGTGAGGCCATTGCTTCCTGACAAGATGCACAAAAAGGGATATACATCTTCATTTCTATAATGTACTGTTCTGAAACATAAAAATCACATGAATCCTTCCCGATCAAAACATACTAAAGGAGTGCTACCAGATGAATGTAATACTTGATCCTAGATTAGATCCTGGACCAGAAAAAGAATGTCGCTGAAGCAATTGATGAAATTTGAATACAGACTATAACAGTTTTGACTTTGTTGATTAAATCTCATGATGTTGAAAATTTGCCCTGGTTGTAAGCATCCATTAGATGTTTCAGTGTAATAGGGCATGCTACTTTCAACTTAATCTTAAATGACTCAGAAAAGTGTCAAAAACTAAAGGAGAGAGAGAGCACAGAAAACAAGGTAATTGAGAAAAACAGAAATGATTGCATAAAAAGAATACAGGATCTTTATTACAATAATTCTTTTATAAGTTTGAAGAGACAGAAAAATGTTTTTAAAATAACATCAAAATCTAAATGAATATTTAATTTTAAAGTTTGACTAGAAAGGTATAGTCTAATTTATTAAGCTGTGTTTGTTTTTCTGTCTTAAGAAAAATCCAGAGAAGATAACAGCACAGCTCTGACAATGCTGCCATTTTGGAGTTTTGTCTAGTTCTTCAGTGGCTAAACTTGTTTACAGAATTGAGTGAAAAAATAAAAAAGTCACACATGTCTACAAGTCCAACCAAGAGAAACAAATTTGACAATGCTAAAACTCACCTGAAGGGTCTACAAAGAAGGGGTCCTCAACCTAAATGGACTAGGCGCACATGCCAGTCGAAAGGCTGGATGATACAAGCATGCAGAGAAAATGCCTGAGCCGCCTCTGACACTTTGGGAAAGGTCGATGGAAAGTGCCGGCATAGAGCACACTTCCCAGAAAGGAAAGGAGTTGCAGAAAGACATAGGGTGAAGGTGCACTAAGAAGCAATATGGTCTAGACAGATGTTCACAACACTGAAATGTCAAAGACAGGTTCTTTCCATCTTGTCATGACTATATTAACAAATTTTGCTACTTAGAAAATAACCAAAAACTGACTATAAAGTGATTTTCATCCTTCTCACCATCTCCTGGGAACACAGACTATACACACGACTAAGCATATTCTGAAATCCAATAGGTCTATACACACGACTAAGCATATTCTGAAATCCAATAGGTCAAGAAGGATAATTCAAAGGTTCTTGTGAGGCTTAAAACGGTTCATTAAAGGAAAGGAACAGGCATTGTTAATAACAGGGCATGCAAATCCAAATTAAACAAGAAACTTAAACTGTGCTGTGAATAAAATATAATGGCAAGATTTATCAGATAGTGGTATACTATGAAATACTTTTAAAGTTACAGGGTGTGTGTGTGTGTGTGTGTGTGTGTGTATGTGTATACACTTTCCTGTACCACAGTACACATAGGAAGGTCAGAGGTCAACTTTTAGGAGTCATCTTCTCCTGCAATATGGGTTCTGAGGATTGAGCTGAAGTTGCCAGGCTTGGGGACAAGTGCCCTTTACCCACTGAGTCATCTCTCTAGTCCTGCTGTTAAATATTTAGCAATTGACTTTCTGTGGGGAAAATGATAATCTTATTTGCTGGTTTCTATGGTCCAAATAATCCTGCTGTGACCAAGTCAAGGTTAAGAGCACAATGTCACTACAAATATAGTTAAAAAGTGAGGCATACTTGTGTGTGAGTGTGTGTGTGTATGTGTGTGTGTGTCTGTGTGTGTGTGAGAGAGAGGGAGAGAGAGAGAAAAGAGAGAGAGAGAAAAGAGAGAGAGAGGGAGAGAGAGACAGAGACAGAGACAGAGATCAGTCAGTATTATTATGTGATTTGTATGTATGTTTTCAGGGCTGATCATTTGGTATTGGGTAACCAATTAGTGTGCTCTTCCCTGAGAAATACTCCTGATCTCAGCATTCCTTAGTTGCCTGTTGTTTTTGTAGGGTTGAGGCCTCATGAGCTTTTCCCTTTCCATGTTGTTGTTTTTTAAATCAACCCATAAGCTAGTGTAAACTGACGCTAACATATCACTGGTGGTGACCTGCATACTAGTTCTGTTGCTAATTCTGTTGCACTAGTTAGGCATTTAGCTATCTGGATTGGTTTCAATTTCCTTCTGTAAAACTTTGTAGTCTCACTGAAGTAACCCAATAAAATATTTCCATCTATAAAATCTCCCATTCAGATCATTCTAAGGTGGAGTTGAACATATTGGTAAGACTTTACCTTCTTGCATTTCACACCAAAACTTTTGGGTCAAAATCTTAACATATCTTGCTTCCCAGTGTTATTATTAGAGAAAAACACATCCACACTATCTAAGGTATAAGAAATTTAAAGCAGTGAACACACCAGATTCTCTACATAGGACAGATTTCTGGGAAGGAATATGCTTGGGAAAAGATGCTATGGAATTGCTAGGTTTATTTTCAGTGCTGTTTATTGTATCTAGAGCTTTGTTTCCTTTCTGCATACACTGCACAAAAATTTCCTTAGTAATGAAGAATGTGCACAACGAAACTAGGGTTCATTTCTTCATTGATGTCCTACAAATCTAAAGAGAGTAACTCATCATGACCTTTAAAAATTGTAATGTTTATTTGTGTCTGAGCATAATTATGTACATCACATGTGTGTAGTACTTGTGCAGACTAGAAGAGGGCACCAAATCCCCCAGAACTAGAATTAGATGTGAGTCACATAGTATGAGTGCCGGGAACTGAGCCTAGTCCTCCAGAATGAGAGTACAACTCTTAACTACTAAGCCATCTCTCTAATCCCATCTAAGTGCAACTTTTAACTACTGTATTTATATTACATCCAGTTGCTGGTGCCTAATGACATAAGGCATCCTCAACACTCCATTTGCTATATGTTGGAATTTGTGGGGCAAATGCTTGTGGTTTGTTTTCTGTCATTACTTCAGAATAAATATTTGAGACATTAGTACTACACTTTGGGTAAAATGATAAAATGTACCTGGAAAAAAATGATAAAAACAAGGGTTAGAGAAATCAAAAACACTGACTCAAGGCTTGTTCCATGCTGAAATTCTTGGGGCTTCAATTTAATGGAGTCAACAAAGGTGAGTTCTAGCTTCAAATCAAAAGGTGCTGTTGAAGTACAGTGGGTGGTCAAATCTCTGTGCAACCTTTTAAGAAACTGAGAGCAAAGGGGTTTAGTAAGGTATAAGAGACATAATACCTTGTGCTTCCGAAGGCTCCCTGGACTAGTGGGTGTAGAGATAGGAGACTGTTTCGATTTGGGTGTTGACAGCTGGCTGCTGGACGTTCCATTTGCTAACCCAAGGCAGGAGAAAGGGAAAGAATGAAAACCAACAGCATATAAAAGAACAAGTTCTTTCTCCTCTTAAGACACTAAGAACATTCAAACAAGGCACACAGTCAACCAAATGATTTGATAGAATCAAATCAAAGTGAAAAGAAACACATTCTTTAAATGCTCTAAGAACTGCAATCCCCAGTTAATGTGGTCTGGCACAGTGCAAGGTATCATAACCATTGCCCTGACCATTGCTTCTCAGTTACACAGATCTATTTCTTTTCAAGACTTTTCCATTTTAATCACCAGGTTCAATACTCACATCTCTGGGGGCAGATTAAGACAGCATTATTTTGCTTCAATTTAATACTACATCAATTCCCTCTGTAGCCCTGGCTGTCCTGGAACTCACTCTGTAGACCAGGCTGTCCTCGAACTCACAGAGATCCACCTGCCTTGAGTGCTGGGATTAAAGCCATGTGCCTGGCTATTCAACTTTTGTAACATAAGCCTTTACTTTTTTAAACACATGCTCCTGGTATTTCTTCCTCTGGCAATTTTTTTTCACAGGGACTAGGGGAAACAGAAAAAAGGGTGGCAGAGAAAAAAGGACCGGGCCAAGAAGAAAGTATGAGCAGCAGCCAGAGCTAAGGCTCACCTTCAAGAAAACATCTAACCTGTCTGATCTGGTTCAGGTTAGAAAGTGGTTCTAAAGCAAGAGATATTTTTCAATTAAGCAAACCAGCTGGGAACTTAGACAATGTCACAAAACAAGAAAACACAGGAGAGCCAGCATGGTTTAACTCCCCTCATGTATCTGTCAACTCTCTTAGCTGGCTCTCTCCAGCTGTGCAGCACGATAGCCAACCCCAACCCCACATGGTCTTTTCTCATAGGATTTTGAGGGTGGTTAAATCTGTCCTTGGTCCTGCACTTATCTTTACTTTCTTGGTCCCATCAATATGTCCTGTCTAAATGGAACAGGACATACCCCAACAGGATGGCTGGTCTGGTTAGTAGGTTGACCTACCCGGATTTACAAGGATTTAAACATTAGAATAAAATGTGTGTTTGTGTATGTGTATGTGTATGTGTATGTGTATGTGAAGCAAGAGTTAGGGTGCTAGTCTTCAATTAATAGAAAAGCCCACTTTCAAGTATGGGTAGTCATAGAAAGAGTGAACAATGTCAACAGCCATGCAGAGTTCATGCTGAGTTTCCAGGTTGTATGTTCCCCTGTTTGGAGGATATACACATCCCTGAAGACTACGATGTATGAAGCTCCACATAAGATGTATCTAAGTGGTCCCAAGTTTGGTGATTAAAGAGCTGTCTAGGTCGTGAGTAAATCAAGGTGTATTACACTTTCTTAGTTCAAGTTCATTTGGCCAGAATGGAACAGAAAAGGAAGGTTTTCTTGGCACATGCTTTGCTACTAACCCTTGATGACTAGATACCAAACTGACTTTATTGCTCATTCATTTCATGCTGATCCACTTGACCATTGTAATACCAACATCGAGACACACTCAAAATCAAGCCTGTTGGTTTTGCTATGATGTTTATTCTGAAATACTTACTTAAAGTAATCTCAGCCTACCAAAAAAAATCCAGTAACTACAGAGTCCCCTCCCATTAATAGCTGTTGTTCTATGGTTATTTTAAAACCTTTTATGATATGTGATCTCACATGGTTCTCCTGATTACTAGTATCTCTTTAATCAACAAAGGCACAGAGATTTGAGAAGATTTGCCTTGTCTAGAGTATGTAACTTATTCCCTCCTTTATGGATGATAGCTTCAGGACTGGATCACAGAACCCATTTCACAATCTCCAATTTACGTCCCACTGTGATCCTTGTGTGATTTATTCTCAGTTTTATTTTTGTTATTTTCTTAACATCTTTCAGAGGGAGATCGCAACTCACAATTCAATCAGTTCCACATTTTCTCATATTGAGATGCTCTAACATTTCTTTCCTCTGGTCAAAATATTCCTGCTTCATCTATATTTTCATACAGACTTTTTCTAAACAGCTACCCAAGTGGAGCCAGGGTGGCTAAGACTCACTTCAGAGCAATCCAAAAGACAGACCTATGGTTGTCACACATCCATTCCAAAGTGCCCTTGGCTGCAGTGTCTGGATCGTTTTGGTTAATTGTTTCTGCTAAATAGAAATGCTTTTGTTCCTCTTCCCAGACTCATCCATCAAGGAAGCAAGAACTGAAAGCCCAGAAACAGTTCTTCAGGGATTTGTTCATTGGGCTGTTTCTCAAGCCAAATTCAATCATAGACTGTGAGATACTGTAGATTTACAAGATGAAATGTGAACTTGAAATCTATTTCCTACCATATTTTGGAAATTATACTGTTGTGAATTCTTTAAAGAAAATGGAGAAGAGTCTTCCCTGTTGGAAAACACCTTTGTTTATTCAACCTTGCAGTATTTGTGGGTGGAACCTACAGCATCACTTATGCTAGGCAAATACCTACCATTGAAATATAACTGCAGTCAATATTGTGATATTTTAATGCAAATGAGTTTTCCTCAAGAAGGTGAAAGCATGGGAGAGTTTTTGTCTTCATACAGCCCTACCAAGGATATCAGTTCATCTTGGAGTGACATTAGTGGAATTAGTAGAATCTATTCAGAGCAGACCATTCGAAATAAAGGTACCAACTTACCTGTGACATTGTGTTGAACTCAACACAGGATAATGACCTAGAAACCACCCCCAGTATATCTTGGCCTCTCCAAACCCTTTAAATGGAGGTGGGCCAGAGAGAAGGACATTGAGAAGCAAGGACCATCCAAAAAAATCTTTGTATTCACCACACTGGAAATCCCATACTCAGCCTCCATTTCCAATGTCTGCTGAGAGGAGTCCTGGGTTTTGGTCCTTGAATACTAAATAGTTGTACAGCATTGGGAAGACCTTGAGAATCTGAACTGCCCCTCAGTTTCTCAGTGTTAAAGAAAAGCAACCTAGATAGTTACCCTTTTGTAACATAGATTATTAAAAATGTTTTGGCAAAATAAGGCATTCTTGTGTTGCTTAATGTAGTAAATAGTCACTAGTCACATTGAAATGTGGCTAATCAGATTTCAGATGTGTGTATTAAGTATAAAAGGCAGAGCAATTTCAAAAATGGCAAGCATCTCAATAGTTTTCATATTGATCACATGCTAAAATGATTACCTTTGAATGGATCAGTAAATAAAATCTATCTATATTGTTTTCTCTTAATTTTAAATGTAACCACTAAACATTCAAATTAAACAATGTGCATGTGATGATGTCATATGAAACCCACACAACTTTCAAAATGCATATAACATACAAAGCTTGCATTATGACCAATATTAGTTCTATGATACAGAGTTAGTTTGTCAGGGAGGCCATAGATTATAATTCTTTCATAGAATCTTGTTGTTTTGTGTCCCTTGACCCAAGAGCTAAGGAGACAGTTAAACGTTAAAAAGTCATGGTGGTGGTACATGTGCCTGTAATATTAGCACTGAAGAGGAATAGACAGATGATTCCTGGCACATACTGGACATCTACCCTAATCAGCAAAGTCCAAAATCCCAGTGAGAGACCTGTCTCAAAAAACAACGTGAGCAGTTCCTGGGGAATACATGTGTTTGTCTCCAAACAAGATTTCTTATGTCTCTGAAAGGATAGAATTGGTCATCATGGAGCTACTGCTGACCTTAAGGAAGTCATTTATCTTATGCAGAAGGCATCATCTTCTATAAATGAAGTTAACATATACAATAGGAAAAGAACACTCACCGTCTTGGTCGTTACCTGAGTCAGCTGGAGACTTGCTGCGGCGCATTGGGCCTGGACTCTTGGCTGATGTCTTTTGAGGTGTTGGGGAAGCTTTTGGGCCAGCTGTGGCAGAAGGATTCCCTTTCATGACTCTACATTCTGCGGACAAAAGGACACAAGCAGCTTAGGGAAAGGTAGAACTGAGACTCTCAGCACACTACCCCCATCTCAAGTGACTCAGAATTACAAGGTGTTCCTCATTTTTTGTAGGAATTATGGCTATGGCAAGGGAGGCATAGGAGAAAATACCAAAAGTCTCTTGTGATAAACTAAGTATTTAAGCTCCTCAATTCTAGAGCAAGGGCAGATATTCTAAAGCAACTCATCTAGATCACATGTTAGATTGATCATCTGCAATTGACCAAGCCATACTTGAAAAATAGTACCTGTGGAAGATTTGCCTTTATTTTATTAGTGTACAGGTGACATACCTCCGATGTCATGGCTGCATAGATGCAGAGTCCCTGAGTAAGCTCCTACTCATTGTCTATCATTACCTGCTATACATTGTGATAGGTACGTTAATAACATCATATCATTCCATTTCAAAAGCACCATTACTACTACTATGCTGAATTTATAGAGCCCTTTTATATGTTCAGTATATTTTGTAATCCCTTATGCGGGTTTAATAAATAAATGGGTCAATAATGGGTCTGATGCTCATTACTCTAGAATACTTATGGGTCTGTAGAAAAGAGTAGGCTAAATGTTTCTGCACTTGTTCTAGCTATAGTCTGGTGTGTTTGGAACTCTCTTTCTATGAAGATCACTCAGCATTCTAAATTAGGGGTAATTTGAGTCACTGAAACTGGTATTTTACTGGGAAAATAATTATGTTCCTTTAAAAAATGAGAGTACTACAAACTTTAAGCTTCTGACTTAGGGCCACGAAGCAAGAAAGTAGCAATGCAAGTGTCAGTAGCTACATCTCTTGAGTTCCTATTTCCTGCACAGTTTTTTTAGATGTACTGTTTTTCTTATTTATTCTTCTCTCATACTATACATTCTGACCCTAGCCTCTCCTCCTTCCCCTCCTCCCAGCTCCCCAATATATGCATGTATTGCAACATGTGTATGTCTGTGGACTGTAGAGGTCAGAAGGGGGTGTTGGATCCCCTGGAACTGGATTTACAGATGCTTGTGAATCACTGTGTGGGTGCGGGCAACCAAATCTAGGTCTTATGTGTAGAGAGAAGCCTTTTCCTTGCCAGCCACTTTGGTTTTTCCCCACCAGTCGCTTGGGCTCTGCCACATTGTAGTCCCCAAATAACACACAAGATGCTGTATTAATTATGAAGCTGTTAGCCTTGCTTGTTTCTTACTGGCTAGCTCTGACTTAAGTATCCCATAATTGTTAATCTAAGTATTTCTCTTACCAGAGAAAAGTTCCGGACATCTTACTTCTCTGGCGGGCTACATTGTGACTCCCTGTGTTTCTCCTACCCAGCATATTCCTTGACTCCTAGTCTCACCTATCTTGCTTCCTTATTGGTCAACAGTGCTTAACTGACATATACACAGGACTTCCCCATCACTTATGCAAGTGCAAAAAGTGTTCTTAACTGCTGAGACATCTGGTAGAGGGAAGATTTTTGTTTAGAGACCTCCTCGTTGACTCCTACACTCAGAAGATTTGTGGGGGTAATTTGGTCAATTGAACTTTTTAGGAACCTGAATTGAGAAGACATCTCACTTTTGTTTGCTCCACTTTTTATTTGGGTTGATGAACTATAGTGATTGTTGTCAAGAGCCACAGATGCAGAGAGAATAGAAAATTGGATATGGCCTGGATTTGGTTAGCTATTTCATGGTCGTTTGCCTTTTCTAAAAGAAAATTTGTAGAAATGCCACTTTTTAAAAGGACCTTGCCTTGAGTTGCTTGTAGGTTGTCTATTGGTGAACCACTCTTTGTTTTTCTCACATGTATCTTTAATGTGTTTTTCCATCAGTATTCCATCCTAATTCTGTTGTGTGGCCTAACTCAGTTCTAACTTATACCTGGATCTTGAGATGTTCAGGTCTTTCTTGAGGTAAGCAATGCTCTGGCATTCTGAACCACAATACAGAGAGAATGAGGTAGCAAACACAAAGGTGGTAACAAGGTTTGAAACTAATAATAGACTGGGGAAAAAAACCTTCCTAAAAATGGGCCATTACCACATACCAAAAAAGCCAGAGAAGAATGACTAGAAAAAAATGTGTATGTGCAAAATATGTAAAGTTCTTTCTTGATGGTGCAGGTTAGTTCATATTATATATAGTATATGATTCAAGGAATGTGGTCATTATTGGGGAAGATGGCAAGTTTCATGTAGTAAGAAGGCTTCACTTCTGGGAGACCCAATTGACCTTTCTCTTAGTGTGTCATGTATTCAAATACAAAGGAGAAATACTAGCCATATCAACCCTTGAGTTACTGTTTTTGAATATTCTCCAGGCCACATGAGATCACGAAAATCCTAAGGGATGAAAAGGAGCAGAACAAAAGTGAAACAAGCCCGATAATAGTGTTTACCATTCTCATCCAAAGAAAAATCGTCTTGAGCGTAGCGGAACTTTTCAGGACCGCAAGCAATAAACACATCATCATCACCAAAAAAATCATGGAGACAGGTGACCTAAGGAGAAAGCAGAAATACTGAGTTATAACAATAACTTCACATTGTGTTAACAAGGTACACAACTTCACACCTAAGCCATCTTCACTAACAACAAGGGATCTCACTCTCTTTCTCACAAAATACCTACCACATTCATAACCTGCACTATGATCCCTAGTGAGTGAACATAATCATATAATCGCCTTTCCATGTTATATGTATGCTCACCTTGTCTCCATGTCATCAAGACTAAGGTTGAGATGATGCATAAATGGAATGGTTTGCTCTGAAGAAAAGTCAGCTAACACAGGTTCCAACACAGGTACCTCTGCAAGCACCTCAAAGGCAAAATACTCACGGGATAGCCCAACTTTGGGTCTAGACCAAGGTAGGTGAGACAGATTGTCTGCAGTTTCTGATGTATAAACCTTGTAGCAGACCCCAAGTTGGGAATTTCTCTCTTCATATTCATCTGTTCTAAAGGTAGACCATTTTAAATTTCTTTGGATGTTACAAAGACTGAACTCTTGGTTTAAAAAAATTACCTAGTAGAGTAATGAGCCAGAGTTTCTCTCCACATTGAAAAACTAACAGAGGAGATCTACCACTGACCACTTTAAAACTCATCATGGGCAATAGGTCCCATAAATTTGTGTTCCCAGGACCCTTCTTGCCCTTGAATGTGATATGCATTGTGACTTCTTTATAGTGGAGACAGTCTCCAAGCTCCCTTCTGAAATGAGGGTCCCTGGGAAAGTAGCCTTATCCCTGCAGTCTCCCCACTTCTCAGATTTCCTAATTACATCTGATAATTACTCCAACACATAAGGCAAACCCCAGGAGGAACCATGGAATCAAAAAACATGCTTTTCCAACTTCTTGGCTTGTAAGTGTCCAAAGCCTCTAATTGTTCTAAGAATCTCATTCAAGCTGCCAGCAATGGCTTTCTAAAGGCACAGACCTTACAAACTAACAACAGCTTGCTGTGTGCAGAAAGCAATACACTACATTTGAAAAAAATGTTTATATTAATAACATCATCCCCCCACCCAAGATCTATTCAATCTGTTTCCCCAGCCAAGATGATTGAAAGCCTCACACAAAGAAGAAGATGCTTACAGATTGCCCCTTATTGTTTAAGCCTCCCAACCATCTATGAGATGCCAAGGGAAGAAAGGGAGATTTGGAGGGCTGCCAGGGTCATTACTATTAAGCTTCTTCCTAGTTCTGAGCCTCAACCTCATCAAATACACCCACACCCTTTTTCAGCCAGCCTGTCCAGCCTTCATTGACTTACTACACAATCATATAATGACAATCAGAGCTTCTACTGATTGAATCCTTATTCTGAGATAGGACCTAGATTGACCTGAGTACTTCTAAATCTGTTATCTCAAGTCAGACTCAGAAAATGCTATTGTATTCACTTCTTTAGAGATGAGATGCCTGAATATCAGAAATAAGTAAATTACCCAGGCTTTAAAAAAATCAATAAATCTAAACAAGCATCTAATCTAATGTACCTTTTACTATAGATCTTGGGACCTGACAGAAGAACAAGAATCACAGATATCACATTACAGAGCTCATCCTCTGATGGAGTGACACACATTGAAACAGAGCACATTTCAACTTAGTTTCAATGACAAGAGAACCTATAGATGTCATGGAAGCTATTGGTTACCAGTCATATCCAAGTGACCCAGTCTGTGGTTGACAAGGTTAGTTCAAGGGTCATTCTGCATGTGGTCTGGAACTAAGTTCCAATAAAAGAGCTTAACGACATGCTTTGAGCTCTACTCCAGATCTCCTGACAATGTCTTAGACATTGAGTCAATACAATGTGGAGCTTTGAACTTTTAGAAACTAGCTGGGTCTGCATCGGTTTCTTGATTGAGGCTGCCCTTGACCTGACTACCTGCCTCTATTTTTGCTCATGAGCAAGGAATGCCTTCACCCTTGAGCTAGCCTGTTTATATCTAGGAATTAGTACTTTCTTTCAGGACCCGTCTGTGCTTTCATGAACATTTACCTAGTCCTGCTCACTGAATCACAGTCCAGGCTCATCCCTCCCTCTGAATTTCATAGAGTTTATGGCCTAATAAGAATTTAGCCTAGGTCGTGTCAGTTTAGACTGTGTACAAAGAAGAAAGGAAGGAGAAATATCCAGAGGATTTTTAATGGATATAAAAAGAAAAGTAGAAGAAATCTATTGTGGATGGGAACAGACATTACCATTTGGAGACTTTGAAAAGTAACTAAAGCACAAATTTAAGGAAAAAAATGGAGAACTGTCTATAGATTCAGACACTGTTTTTCACAGAGATATCTTAATTGTTGAAAAATTAGTTCTTAATGGTTTCTTTTTATCCCAGTCCTATGTCATGATATCTTATTCTAGGATAAGAATGCTATACAGACTATTAGAGTACTTGCAGTTACAACTACGCATCCTCTGGCAAGCCCAAGTATCTCCTCTTCTCTCAGGCTTAGCATATAGCTTTGGGCTAGCCCTCCCTTTGGGGATCTTATAAGAAAGGCAATGTTTCCTATGCTTTTGACAAACTCACAGTGGTGTTCTGGCTTCAAACACATTCATGTTGCAATCCAGCTGTTCAGCATCAGGTTTCTTATGTGATCCTGCTTCCTATTTTACTGGCTTCAAAATGTAGACAAACACATCTTGTGCATGTGGATACCCAGATTTTGCCAAATGCTTTCAATGCTGAAACACAGCAGCCCCCATCTTCATTAAATGATGAGAAAATAAAATGTTTTCTATCTTAAAACATGAGCATCTAAAGGCACAAAAATACAAACCTTCCCAAGGATTCACAGTTGGCTCATGAAAGTGTTGGGACTAACACTCAGGCATCTTGCTTCAATTCAGAACAAAATAATTCAATTGCCTGAGAAAGCATGACTCCCTATACCTCTTGACAGGAGACTCTTTAGTCTCGAGATTAGAGAGTCCAATATACATTAGACTGTCATTTTGAAAAATGAAGTTTTGTTGTTAACCATATTTTTAATTCATGAACAAGAGAAACTTTTCCCTTTAGTGAAAACTGAGTACATGGTAGAAAACAGGGACAAGGAGAAGGAAGAATTCTAAGAAGAAAAAGAAGAAAAGAAAAGAACAGGACAATAATAATGGGATATAAGAAACAAATCTCAACTGAAATAATTGCCGCCTCCTTTATAAAATTTTTATGATGACAATGTGACACAAAGTCCACCTTGGCTCACACTTCAAATGCACAATTTTATAATTAGCTTTCTTGAAGCAATCTTTTTAGAATAAAGTGACAACAAATGTGGTAACAGACTACTTACTGCAGTATCCCAGCATCCCCAAGAATAAAGGTCTTGCTGGCGTTAGCTCAAGTATGAATCATACTTGAGTATTTATGGCAGAGGAGAGAACACATAGGCATGACACCCATCTTTATAACTAAGCAACTACCAGCACAAAATCAATGAAAATTAATTCCACACACATTTTAACTAACCCCGAACCATTACCTCAAAACTCTTCTTTTTAAAAAATAAAAAAGCAGGTATGGGGAGAAGGACACCAGCATGGTTGTGCATTAGTATGAACAATATATTATTTGGAAGGTCCGGTGTCTTAAATGTCATAAGACAAGTGGATCAATGTAGGCAACATATCACTGTGTGCAAGCAGATTGAGTCTATTAGCTGCAAATGGAAAATTGACTGTGATTTGATTAGATTCTCCATTCACATATTACAGATAGTGGCTGTTTTTGCATGTGCCTGCTGCTACTACATCCTATAATCCATTTATCTAACTCTTCAGAAAGAAATGTTCTTCAGGAATAGTTATAAATCTATGAGACTCACTTTTGAAGTGTGTAGTATTTTTAGTGAAAGTTCAACTCCCCCATATTGGTCATTAAACACTTTCTAACGCAAAGGAACTATGTGCGAAATACAAAAACGAACAGTAAAAGGCCCCTGCCGTCACAAATGACAATGTAATAAGCATGTGTGAACTACACAAATAATTAGAATACAACGCAGACTGTTGTTAGCACTGCTGTGGAGGCACAAAGAGTGCGAAGAATCACAGAAGACAAAGAAAACAATAAAAATAAAGATCATCATGGCCTCACACAGTCATTTATATACATGACATGAAAGTAATAGTGAAACGATCTGGAACAAAGAGTGGGACTAGTTGGGGGCTAGTGATGACAAATATGGTCAAAATATATAATAATCTTGAATAAAATGTGTTTATGAAACCCATCAATGGATATATACCAATAAAAATGTTTTATGCAGAGAACTGAGGTAGACTTCACAAGGAAGACAACTCACAAACTGAGTCTGGAAACAGAGCCGGGATATAGGTTAATGGAAACAGGAGGGGGTCTAGGCAATGGTAGTTGTGTGAACAAAGGCTACATCTTAGTAGCTATGGTAATTGGTTTTACTCCACCCAAAACACGGCACAGCACAATTGCCCAAATCCATATGCTAACCTGATGCACAGACAAAACATCCAATTAATTGCCTCCTGCTAGAACTCAGGGTGAAGGGAAGGGCAAAGTGTGTCTATGAAGAGGGCTGGCTCCAGTGGTGTGGAAGAGGGAACCCCTGTGGCAAAGCAGACAACCCACATTGATTTCTCAGTCTTGCCAACAATGTGCCCTGACCATAGAGAGAGGAGCTGGCAAGCTTTGCAAAGTGAGTTAATGAAAGATTCAGTAAACATTACCAGTGAGGCTTTCTAAAAGTTACTGCCACTTTTATTCTGGAACATTCCCTGCCTGCCAGCTCTAGACTGGCTTCAGTAAGAGACCAACACCAACTTGGCTTCTTAATGTGTGCAATGTTTCTAGGTGACCCTTATTTTCTTATCAAACTCTTTTGCTTGGAGTTATCTTGGAGTTTTGCTTGTGGATTTTTCAAAGCAACACTTTTTGAGGGGCCTGGACAAGTAGGTCCCTAATTCTATGGTGCCCTTTTTGGCACAGATCTCTTTATTC